TGAATCCGACCGCCCACCCCTCCGCTTAGCGACCGAATACAATCCCCTCCTCCCCGATTTACCAACTAGAAAGCAGCGGATTCGTGATACTCAGATGTTATGTGTGAGCAACATCCTCCCAAAAGTGAGTTTCTAGCAGAGTCACTTCTAGCCTACACCTCTCACTACGACTCTTCAAGAGCAGGGTTTTGCAAACTCAATCAGCAGTAGTGAAATAAAAGGGAACTTCGAAGGCGAATAACTTCCTTACTGAGCAATGAGGATCTTCACGACATTGATATGCGCACAGCATGCAGCTGCGTGTAACGGTGTCCATTGTTCCGTGTCCTGAGCATTTACATCGGCGCCGTGACTCAACAACAGAAGCATTATCTGAAATTGATCAATTCAATCAGCGCTATGTTTATCACAAAAGGGAACGATAAGGACAGAGGCGGACAGGGTTGTTTTTTGGTACATGCTCTACAGCTTAGATGTCGCAACACGGGTCTCCCCTACTACGTTTAAGGTGATACCAGAGAGTGACCTTACCTGCTGATTGTCATCGATAGCACATTGATGCAACGGAGTGAGACCATCCTCGTTATGCGAGTTTGGATTTGCACCTTCGCGAAGCAACCGCTCAACTAAAATCACATTTTTCACTGGAATGTTCCAATAGTTTGGCTATTCAAATTAGGATTAAAAAATGTGAGAGGCTCGCAACCAAGGAAAAGAAGAGAACAATAAACAACAACAATGGCAATGGAGACGAACCCTCAGCGGCATCCGCTCGCCCAGTCGCTTCGAGCAGCGCAACTTCAGGCGAAAATCGCAACCGAGGACGACGTGGTCTGGGTGGCGGCAACGATCGTTCTCGCTCGTCGCATTTGCGCAGCTGTTCGCGACGACGCTCTCTGAAACGATCACGCTTGAAAACCCATATCGAAACCATTCAAGGAAACTTATATAAAAACATTATGAATCATACCAAATACCAAATCACATTATTATATCATCAACGAATTAGCCTTGTAACAGTTAGCAGTACAAAAGAAGTTATGCCATTACATTAAACTACAGTCGTCATCCGGGCAGTTGATTAGGCGGTCAAAGGGTCGCAGACGCGGCTGCGGCGCGTCACGACCGCGGCGATCAGCTGTTTCCAGCCTATTTAGCCATTTTCTCCCTAATTTTCACTGTATTATTTTTTTTCAAGGTAAGTTGTTTTTTGTCTTTATGAAGTATATTAGGACGTGGATTTTTTGTTTCTGTAATGAAGTGTTTTTGCGATTTTTTAGGTATTTGTTTGATTGTTTGTTTAATTATTTAATTGTTCGCAAAAATTAGAGAAATCTCAATCATAATTTACCTCGCGAAGAACAATTAACGTTGAGAAAAGCAGCCAAAAAAAAATTAGGGACAAAAAAGGACTAAATATGTTGGAAACAGCTGAATTGCCGGCGTTCGTGACGCGCCGGCAAATACGTCTCGCGGAACGCTTGGACCGCCTAATCATCACTGCTCGGATGACGACTGTATCTCTCCGTGGACAAGCGCTGCTCCTCAGGGGAGGGTCTTTATTAAGGGATTTTTTTACAAAAACCGTTATTACTGTAATGGTAACGAGAAATCTTATGTCGCAAAGACTCCGAGATGTATGATCACAAATGTGCAGAAGGATATTTCGCATTACGCTAGACGCTATACGGTAGTTCCATTTCTGCAAAAATAGTCCACCAAACGCCCTCCCTCCCAGAGGACTTGACCCTCAGCTATTTCGATCTTTTAATTCTTTCCGTATTTGATCAAAAGATGAAAAGTCGACGATAGCTAACACAAGCACAAAGAAATTCTGGCACTGAAATGCGATGATTTGCCGAGACCACAAACTTCATTTGAATAAACTGCCGTAAAGTGCACCCACCGCTTTATTTGAGACGAAGATTGGACCATTCAAGAATTAAATGATAGAATTTCCAGCTGATCCATGAGAATGACAAGTGTTTGACACTCTTCTGTTCTGCACCTCTTTGTCCTATTTTATTTACATTCGCTTATCCCTCACCTCACTGAACAGGTTCTTAATTTCATTACTCTGTTCACTGGCTATCTACATAATAACGTTCCTGTTCCCTTTACCAGTTATAAATTTATTTACCAGTTAAATACCTAGAACCCAATAGTAGCGGGAAGTCCAAATTTGTAGAAATTCCTCAAAAGGAAGGGCATAGAACTTGTTGGAAAAGAGCGCATTATTAGCTCATGGGCTTTTCTCTGCACCTGTTATCATTATAAGAATACTGCTTGGGGTGGGTCAAAGAGATCGCTAGAAGCTGAGGAACAGCCTCAAATAAACAGGTTCTGGTGAGAATAAGTCGCTTTTAGCTCAGTTATCCATTTTTGTTTCTAACTGGTTACGGAAATAAAGTGACGCGTCATGTAGGTAGCTGGCCCGAGTCACTAAACTACATTTCTCTAGCTGCCCGTCGCTTGATGCTCGAGAAGCACCAGCATTGAAGCCAACGCTATCAGCCTTTTTGCTGGCCATCATTTACAAAATTCTATCAGTTCAGTGCTCTGGACGAGTTATCAAACGTGAAAAACGAGATGTATGACTTCTTATGAGGATTCATTGAGATCTGATCGCGTCAACGGTCCCATTCCGGAGTCCGAAGATTAGTTTCAGCAAAAAAAATTGGAGGCTTTTTACGGCCTGAGCCCTTACGCGACGGTCGGGGAGGCGGGGTTGATTCAAGAAGTGGCAGATGAGCAAGAGATAATGTTTATCAAGAGATAAAGCACGGATAACTTATGTAATTGTTAATAGTTAAGAAACAGGTGACACCGAGGCCAAAAAGCAGCATCATTTTCTCTTTATGGCCTTTTTTTTCTTTGTTTTCCCCATCTTTTTTTGCCATTAGTTCATTACGTCAGAAAGTGCGAATAGGTCAAATGGCTGACCAAACAGTTAAATTTCCAGTTGCCCTGTTACCACCTGCGAGATTCGAACCAATGTGGGTGGAAAAGATTGTGTGGTTTTGAAGCCTTTCCTTCGTTTAAACACTTCTGTAGGTCGAGGGCAATTATCTCATTATTCCCCACTAGAACCTTCACAGGAGAAAGGTGGAGTACAGTGGGTGTTATCGCAAATTCTAGAGTTTACTGGTCTGTATGGTGCCGTGTGAGTCATACATCGCTACCTGATTGTAACCATTCACTAAAGAGCGCGATATGATAACCGACTGACAGGCTGCCGCTCCTTCAGGGTACGCCATCGTTGTGATCATCACAAGGAGGGGGGTCGTATTTGACCGCGAGGGAGGGGGGGGTCGTATTTGGTCAGAGAAAAATTTTTTTGATAGTTGATTTCTCTTGTTTCACGGACGCTGTAAGGGGGGGGGGGTCGTACTTGGTCATTCATTTTTGGGAGGGGGGGGGGTCGTATATTTGAGTTCTGACGACGCCACCCCCCCGCTCGACGGCTCGGTTCGATGAGGAAGGGACAGAGGGCTGGGAGGGGGGTCGTACCAACTTCCAAAAAGGGGGTCGTATTTTAGTATGGAATTGGGGGTAGTAATTTTCAGAAAATGATCGCAACGCGATGGCGTGCGCTGCGCTCCTTGCACCGGAGGTCTAAGGTCCCTTATGGTTATTAAAATCTGTCCCCTTACGGCTCCTAGCCTGGGACTGAACAATAACATACGGGATCGGGGTAATGTGTAAGAAACAAAAACTGGGAACTCTCGTTTTCAACAGATGTATAATCCAATCCTAAGTCTAAGAGTCTAAGAGATTATAAGTGGAAATCTGGCGCGTGGCGTGCACCATAACCAGAGTAGGCACTTTGAGGTGTTTTAGCGCGATAACTGCTGTTCAACGCCGCAGTTTGCGCTCTAGAAAATATCACAAGAATACTGCTAACACCGCCGCTTCAGCAGGTTCACCCTTCTCCGCCCGTGTTAGGTATTGATGCCGATGTTGATGTCTTAGCTGTAGGTGTACGCTGCTAAAGCATTGTATTTCGAAGGTCTGATGACGGCATTAATGCCGAAAGCTTTTCAATAAAGAAGTTGATAGAAGGGCTTTGAAAGCGTCTATCCAACAATTATTGATGAGACCAGAGATAGCAGCACTTTACGGCCATTGGGGGGAAGGGAGGGGGAGGGCCTTTTGCACTCTCGTTGCTTCACTACTTGCGGTTTACAAACAAATCTCATTCTGGTGAAACCTGTGAACTCTGTGAAACAGGATTAAGCTTCTCAAGCAATCATGGTAAAACCTGTCAACTCGAGAAGAGGCTGTCTAGATGGGTCGACACGTCGATGGAAGCAGCGAAAGTGCGAGAGTGCCCCCGTCGCCAAACAACGCCGCCTTTACAATACAAGAATACTGAATCACGGGCAAAAGTGAGACCCTAGATGGGACTCGAACCCATCTCTCGCTACCGGACGAAAACGCTATCCATTACACCACTGGGGCCCCTTTTACCTCCTTACAATTAGCTCAGCAGCTTTTGTGTCGTAGCCTTACACCTTTCACATAATGAGCCGATTAACGATATCAGCACTGAACCGGGAAAGCCTTTACGTGTTTTAAGGTATGGGAGTCCCACCTGGGGTCTGACTGACCATAACACAATATTCTTGTGATAAAGTGAAAATCATTTGACTGGGCGCTTAAGCGACAAACCCTCAAATCCCCCAGCAGGGAACAAGAGGCTCGAAACGGAGTCACTGATTCAACGTCGAGCCGTAAAACAAATAAAACCTGCCCATTAGACACATAACTAACGAGGTGAATCGCACAATTTGTTCAAGCAAAGAGACTAAGAGAAACAGACAGACGATGGGAGGAAGCAGAAAAATGGTTTAATGGGAATGTGTAGTAATACAGTCAATGTGATCGGTCAAGATGATCGAATATGTTCTGATTTCTATCCCGATCAAGACCAGGGCACGTCTTGTCACTGGGGGCGGGGAGAGGGACCTTTGCAAAATTCTCTTCTTCCCCCTCCCACCCATGGAATTCTCCCAAAGTTGTGTATAGTGCACGCGAAACAAAAAGTCAACTATCAAAAAAAACTCAAAAAATACGACCCCCTCCCCCCACCTTATAGCCACCAAATACGATCTCCCGCTGGGGACTGCCAGCTCATGACGTGCCATGATCAGGAGTAATTTTTTCTGGGTGACCAGGGTGATTCGCCGTTGGCATCGACTGGAGGTTCCCCTTCTCTCAAATCAAAAGGCCTTACTGAAGCAGGTCACACCCGAAGCAGAGGATTTCCCGACGGAAAAAACGCGAAGGGGGGGGGAGGGATACCTCAGTTGATTGGTCAAGTTTCTCCACATCTCTTAAGCTGATACTAATTCTTCCGACTTTTTTGTTTTGTCCTGTTTGTTTCTTTTCACCATCTGCTACGGTTCTGTTTACTTGGCTTTGTTATAGCGCGCCTTTCAAGGGTACAAAATAAGTAAATGAGTATCTGCTAATTAATAGCATGACATTTCTTCACTCAGGGTACAGCATCGTGATGTGTGAAATGGTGGTGTCAGTACGACCCCCCCCCACCTAAAGGAGGGTCTCGGTACGACTCCCCTCCCCCTTCCCCAGCACCTACCTACTACTCTCCTACAAGTTCCCAGCTTCCTACCAGTAAAAATTTTGCTTTCAAGCGGGGGGGGGGCATATGGCCTGTCCCAACGACGACCAAATACAACACCCCTCCCCAGCGGCCAAGTGCGACCCCCCATGTGTTTCACACATCGATGCTGTACCCTGTCTTCACTCCCCCCGACTTACAGTCCCTAGAGTACTACGCTGCAGGAGGGGGTCGTCCAGAGAAAATGTCTCTCACCCACTTGACATTGCTTCAGAAACGCTCTTTCGATGTTTCGCCATCCTTGCCAGGTCATCTATGTAAATATTATACAAAAATCGTCATTCTGCACC